TTGCTATATATTTGATATATTATTGAATGGATTTGATATTTTCGGATGCTAGTCCAACCCAACCCAACCAAACCCAAGAGAAATGGCATGAGCCGATTGGATAATATTGACTGACATCATGTGCATCCCAGTTAATGAATGGAACAAAATTCGGATTCCATTTCCGAATTATTGAACAAATTTGAAAATTGAATTAATTTCTTCATGAGCCCAAACTACTATCACATTATTATTATTATTATACAGGATTTATATACCGCCAACAGTTTGCACAGTGCTTTACAAAATGAAGGTAGATATTACAGTTACAATACAATTTGGTACAAGAGGAAACAGAGGGCCCTGCTCGTTAGAGCTTACAATCTAGGAGGAAGGGTTGAGTGATACAAAAGGTAATAGCTGTGGGGGGATGAGCTGATGGAGGAAATAAATGGCGGTTTACTAGGTAGAAGCAGGATAGACTTCTTTAAAGAGAAAGGTTTTCAGGGATCGTTTAAAGGTGGATAGATTAGGAGACGGCCGGACAGATTGGGGTAGAGAATTCCATAGGATGGGAGAAGCTCGGGAGGAGTCCTGGAGGTGAGCATGAGAGGATGTGACATGGGAACTAGAGAGCAGAAGGTCTTGGGAGGATCGAAGAGAGCGGTTTGGTTGATATTTTGAGACCAGGTTGGTGATGTAGCGGGCAGGGGGCAGAGTTCCGGATGGCTTTGTAAGTTGTTGTGATGTGATGTCATCCGAATGAAACAAATGCATTTGTTATTTTCATTATAAACTTTTTTTTCAAATTCATTGCCTTTCATTTCTATGTCCATTTTGAAAATTTGGATACATCCAAATCTCCTAAAATGAAATTTATGTCCAAAAAATGAATAAAAATGAAATAAATTGCACATATCCAAAAACCGATACAATACGAAAACTAGCCAGATAGAGGCCAGTAATATAGGGGTTTATTTACTAAAGCTGGCTCACTCAGAATCTCATGCACTGGATAGAAACCAATGACTTCCAGGTTTTATTGCTAAAACTTAATTAAACAAGGTTAGAAGCTGATTAGCTATTATGCACAGCTGCACCAGATTCTGAGTGAACCAGCTTTAGTAAATAAACACCCTAGTGTAATGTTGATGGTATAGGGTTTAATATTTACTGCATGCCTTATGGTATCCTGACATCTCCCTCGCTAGGATTTACTTGTAAGACATATGACCTGCAACACTGTATGCACTACCTGAAGCAAATTTTGTGACTAAAAGTTGACCATAAGTCACTTGGTGTATAGAAACCTGGGTCCTGCAATGACCAGCAGGTTCATCATTCCTCATTCAAGTATGTCTGAGTAGGGAATCCTATAAGCAGGACACCAAGGGACTGCCATGTGGAAGAAAGAACAAATCCCTCACAAACGTGTTCCACCCCCAGCACTAGTTCCCATAGTTGTCATCCAGGAGACAAGCTTCCTTTGACAGCAGCAGTGTCTCCCACCCTGAGCCTGGCAATCTCTGCTTCTGCAGCGACTCCACGCTGCACAGCCTGTGGCTTTCCGAGGACCGGGTATCCATCCACACCTAAATGGCTGATCTGCTTCCCTTGTGTTGTTATGCTCTGGATGTTAGTTTGTGAATTTTATTTTTAGTATACAATAAATACAAGCAGTTTTAACATACTACACCAGTGTTTCTCAACTTTTTTACCTTGGAGGAACCCTTGGCAAAAAAGTTTAAGATCTTGGGAATCCCCTGAAAAAAATTTCAGATCTCCAGCTCACAGAACATTGGATCTGATCAGTGAGCTGTAGATTTAACAACAGTTAACAAACAAATGCAGAGCAGTGCAGGGAAGCTGTTGTTGTACCATGTACCATTTTCTCCTTGATACCCACTGGCCCTCCTCTCATCCATCCCAGGTGATATTACATTTACCATACTGGGACAGACAGAAGAAGAGGACCTGTGGGGAACAGTGCAGTAAATAACAGTATGCTTCCCTGCACAGCTCTGCCAATCCATAACACATAGTTTTTCACGTGGGGTTCCACCGCAGATCAATATCATGACAGATGTATATCCACCCAATGATGTTTTTAATACGCACTGACATTGATACCTGATGCCTCCTCTGTAGTTGTGGTTCCTGTGTACTCAGAGGGTGGCATCGAGTGGAGTGCAGAGAGTGGGAACACATGGCTTGATCAGGAGGTGACATCTTGTGTATGGCACCAGTGAATGCAGATGCAGAGAGTGGGAGCACATGGGTTAATGTAGCAAGGGGTGACATCCCGTGTATGGCAGTGCTGAATGAAGACAACAGAGGCATATAGCTGGATGAGACTGAATGTAGCAGGAGGTGAGATCATAATAGTTTTATGTACAGTTCTGGCATAATATAAAGTGAATATGATCTCATCTCCTCCTACATTCAGTCTCATCCAACTGTGTGCGCTCCCTCTCCGCAGTCTGCATCCTGCTGCCAAACACTGGATGTCACCTCCTGTTTTAGCCATGTGCTCCTTCTCTCTGCTCATTCTCCAGTCTGTATTGACTGCTGCCCTACACACACAGTGCTCCATCTCTCTGCCTCCCTCTGCACCCCCTTCCCTGCACTCTACATGGCACCACTACACAGAGTCATCAAGGGATCTCACCTAGTGATGGGCTTGTGCCTTGTACTGCCTCCCACCGTCTTGTGATCAGCACTGCTATAGAAAGTAACACCTCCCCCTTCAGCTCCTGCTCTGTGCAGTACTCCTGGCACCTCCCTCTGAGTTCTCAGGAGCCGGAACTACAGAGGAGGCATCAGGTATCAATGTGCGCTGACAGTACTGACTGTCAGAGTGCATTAAGAGCACTACTGGAAACAACATTGGGCGGTATCCATCACAGTGTTGAATTGCGGCGGAACCCCTGTGGACTTCTCATAAAACCCTAGGGTTCCGCAGAACCCCGGTTGAGAAACATTGTACTACACTATATTATGTATTATTTTACTTATTTATTATAGGTACTTATATAGCGCCGTCAGTTTAAGCAGCACATTACATACTGTATATATCATACATTCACATCAGTCCCTAACCTTCAAGGGGAGTACAATCTAAAGTCCCTAACTTAAATTCATACATACATGTACTAGAGATCATTTAGACAGGATCCAATTAACCTACTAAAGCCTGTGCATGGGTTTCTTCTTTATGTTTAACCTGGTGACTGTAGTATAGAATAGAGCAGTAAAATACAGTATACCATATCATTGTACAATATAGAATAATACATTGTGGGCAATGTAAAATATATTTGTCTTATATCAGAAATGTTGCTAAGCTTCCATCCAAAAAAGTGTTAACTACACATGTGCTGTATGTATAAAACTGTATAGTTAATATACATCAGATTGTATAATGTAAAGGACATATCAGCAGGTAACAATGAAAATTGTAAATGCTACATTAAATATTTGCTATTTCACACTACAGTATCATTTTGCACCTATCAACCTTTGGTACTTATTATCAATTATCATTACTACTTATTATTAATTATCATCCTCATCAACCTCATTAAGCAAAAAAAAAAGTAACTTGTGGTTGGAGGCCCTAATTAAGTAAAAATGATTAAATCAAAGCTCCAGCAAAAAAATACCAAAACATTTTTTGCTGCAATATTTAGCTTCAGTGCAGTTTCCCCATGAAATTCTTTTTTTTCAGCCACTAGAGGTGACAGTCGGGTGGGCAGCACCATTCTACCACTTCCTCTAATCCCAGGTTGTACTGGATCTGTTCCTTGCTGTACTGGACAGTGTAAGGAGAAGCAGCACAGTGATGAGCTCCTGCCTCTCCTCCTATTAGTATGTGTTATTAGCACATGAATGGATAGTCTTCTTCCTCTCACACTCCAGCCTTCCTGTGCAGGAACTGTAAGAGACTGATACCAGGTCAAACTCAGGTACTTACACAGCTTGCATTTGAAGATGACATTTATTGATGTATAGATGATTAGAGAGCTGCATTCATTAGTGTTTTTTATAACTGCTTAGATGTCAGCTGTAAATGTAACTAGCAGATGGGGGCTTATTACCAGATTATCAGTGATTGCTGCGCATCCTGAGCTTGTTAGCAGAAAAATAAAAGGTAAATGCACATATTATAAAAAACAAAAAAACAATGGTGCCTATTTATAAAAGTGTAAGGTACAAGTATTGTCAATCTAGCTCAAGTTATGTGTGCACTTTGCACATCATGTACAAAAGCTTTCATCACAGTTTTCAGTTTAGACATCACACTTGAGAATAAAAAGTGCACATCAATGTATGGCATACTCTTCACACTGTCTATTTTTAAAGCTGTAGCTATTCTATACTTCCTTGTTACAAAACTACTTTGCTACTGATAACAAAGAATAGTCAATTAACTTTTAATGAAAACAACCTCATTAAAATGAAAGTACATGAAAGCACTAACTGTATGACTTTTAGTTTGCTATAGCACCATGCATCATTAATTGCCATTATTTATTTATTTATTTATTTTTTAGCGTCAGTCAGTACTGATGATCTGCAGCTGATTTGCAGCCAGTTCCTGTCTACCTGACCACACTCCAGTGGAAGCAGCATGGTATTTCCCATGTTTTCTGATGGTGACAACCCATGCAATGTGTGCTGCTTGTAGCCTCCATTGGGTCAGTGTGTAATTGGGTGACAATACTAGAGCACAGTTAGGAGGCAGGGAATAATCATTTTGACCCCATGACATAGACCTTTGTGGCAAAATCTATAGAAATTATTTTAATTAACAGCTTCTGCGCCGCCCTATAGCAGAAATATTGCTACAGGGTGGCAAGGGTGCACAAAATCACACATATATATATATATACGTGATTTTGCAGCCCTGGGTAAGGGACGCGTGCAGCAATTCGCGGCCTCAGCTGTCAAACACCGGGTCCCAGCCGGCGATTCCCCACAGGCACCCGGAAATCTCCGAGGATTTCCAATGGGGGAGAGACCTGTATGTGAACAACACAGATCTCTCCCCTGTCAGCTCCTGCACACTGCTTTGTATTGCTCTGCATAGCAGAACCATACAATGCAGTGTGCTTACAGTGAAAAACACACAGCCCCCACAGTAAAACAGCACACAGTTAACCCTTTGATCGGCCCACATGTTAACCCCTCCCTACCCAGTGCCATTAGTACACATTAGCACTGATCACTGTATTGGTGTCACTAGGGATGTCAGTGACACCAAGCGAGTTCCTCCCCAGTGTCAGAATGCCCGCCACAGTCTCGCTATAAGTCGCTGATCACCGCCATTACTAGTAAAAAACAAGTCCAGTATATATACACCGCCATTTGTAAATGCTATAATTTTCATGTAAACCAATTCATTTACACATATTGGGATTTTTTTTTTAGCAAAGACATGTAGCAGAATACATTTTGGCCTAAATGTATGATGAAATTTGATTTTTTAATTTTTTTTACTGGACATGTTTAATAGCAAGAAGTAAATTATATGTTTTTTTTCAAAATTGTCGGTCTTTTTTTGTTTATAGCACAAAAAAAAAAAAAAAACCGCACAGGCCATCAAACACCACTGAAAGAAAGCTCTACTTGTGTGAAAAAAGGACGTAAATTTTATTTGGGTGCAGTGTTGCATGACCGCGCATATGTCAGTTAAAGCAAAGCATCGCTGTATCGCAAAAAATTATCTGGTCAGGAAGGGGGGTAAAAACTCTGGAGGGCAAGTGGTTAAGCTGAAGATTTAAAAACATTGAAAATGACTTCAAAGCATTAGATTTCCATGCTAAGTCTTATAGGATATTTTAGTAATTAGATTTATATAGTTTTTGTGTGTATTTAAAATCTAAAAATGATCTCCTATTTGCTTTCTTTTGGTCTCATAAATATACCATTGAAAGTGGTTTGTTATATTTATTAGATAAGTACAAAAAATATCAGATTTTTCCAGAAATCCTGTGAGCTGATAATTTCTTGTACTCTGTGGCTTTGCACAAGGAAGGGTTATGGAAATGGGGAGAGGGTGATAGGGAGAGGTCTGTGTGTTTTTCTACTTCATCAGAAATGAACTGGGCAGGGCTGTTAGCGGGAACTATATTTCTGACACATCAACCTTTTATTTCTGTACTTTCAGGGTGTTTAAAGCAGAACTAAAGCTATCGATTTAGTGGTTTCAAAAAACAGTTATATTCTCAGCATGGAGGGAATGCTAACTGTCCCAAATGCTTGTGCTCTCAAGCAAACTGTCAAACCATCAAATGTCAACTGTCAAACGTTCACCTTGTGTGCTAGTTGCTCCCCAGATATCACCTACTGTATATATTAGATTCTGTTACATCAAATGGTTGATGTCATAACTCACGGATGTCAAACTGGCGGCCCTCCAGCTGTTGCCAAACTACAAATCCCATGAGACATTGCAAGATTGACAGTTACAAGCATAACTCCCAAAGGCAGAGGCATGATGGGACTTGTAGTTTCGCAACAGCTAGAGGGCCGCCAGTTTGACACCCCTGTCATAACTGATCATATGTGCAGCATCATGGCAGTCGCAGATCGGACAGAGGTAAGATGGCAGCTTCCTTGGTTGTAAAGCATAGGAGAATTTTGTTCTCCTTTAGCTTGGGTTCACACTAATGCGGTGCGGGAAACTCTGCAAATCCTGTGAGTTTCCCGCAGGGGCGGACTGAAAACTCATGAGGCACCCAGGTAATAGGGGATCATGGGGCCCCTGTGTCCTTGCCCACACTCAAAAAAAATCCTATGAAAAAGGTACCAGAGGTTTTTCATGGGGTCCCCTACTGACCCTGGGCCCTCGGGCACTGCCGAGTGCTCGAATGGTCAGTCCACCCCTGGTTTCCCGCACTGCATTGCAATCGCATGGTTGTCATGTGATCTGGTGTGGGTGTCAATGACAAATTAATGAAACAGATTGCAAACCGCGATGCGATTGCAAGAAATTGCATTGCATGGGTGAGAACACCCATGCGATGTGATTCCTGTGCGGATAAAAAAGGGTTCTGCACCTTTTTGGTGTGGATGCAAAATGTATGGCTCAAATCTCACCGCACAGACATTGCACGTAATTCGCACAGGAATTCAGTGCGATTCCTGTACGAATTACATGTGATGTTCTGCATCACATTAGTGTGCACCCAGACCTTCATAGTGCTCCCCCCCTATAAACTGTCAATAATATGTGAAAGTGGGTACCTTAACAAGTATACTTACCAACATCTCTGTGCATTTTTTTTTTTTGCTTCCACAGATTTTCATGCTCTCCCTGTGCTACCTGGGCCCCACTCCCATGCTGCCATTTTCAAATTTTATATCATGAACATGCTCACATGAAGTCATGTGCTTCATCTCGTTATATGCAGTATGACATTTCTTCCATCTGTTGGAGAAAAGAGCCTTAACCTGAAATCTCGGAAAAACTATTTATTCTCAAAAAATGTAATTTTGTATGGCACATACACAAGTTGACATCATGTGTTTTATCTTGTACATGCACTGTATTACAACATTGCAAGATCTCGCACTTTGGGTACAGGATATCCCTAAAGGCAATGATGAAGGTGCCTTCACAGGGGACATCTGTGCATCCAAGGCTATATCACCAGTTCCTTCAGGGAAACCAGAAAGTAGAACCAAAAAAGAAAGAAACTGTAACTAGACTATTTCACATCAGCATGCAGAGATAAGAATTTTAGTGAATGGAGGAAAAGGTCCACTTTAAAGTGATAGAACCTGGGGAAATGTACATGTATGCCAGTGATGTACTAAAAAAACATTTTTGACATACAAATTAACTATTTCCTTTACTCCCAGCTGCAGGTCAATTGATAAATACTGTATTTGGTTTTTTTTCACTTTCTATGACTGAACAGAGAAGCAAGATGATACCCACATGAAAGAAAAATATATCTGAAATATTTTTAAAAATATTTTTCCCCAAATAATGACATATATTTGAAATGCTACAATTTTTGCCAAATTTTTTTTATATATATATATATTATTATATAGCTCCACAAGCAGGGCCCTGCTATTCCTTCTGTACTGAAATGTATTGTAATTGTACTGTCTCCCTTATATTGTAAAATGCTGCGCAAACTGTTGGCGCTATTAAATCCTGTATAATAATAACATATATATATATTTGAAATGTGTTTTTATTATAAAATATATGAAAAATATTTTTAAAAAATACATTTCAAATATACTGTCTTTAATTACAAATCTACATTTTTGGAATGCATTTACAAGCATATGTAAAAATATATATTATTATACATATATATACTGTATGTTGAAATGTGTTTTTATTACAAAATATATGAAAAAATATTTTTAAAAATACATTTCAAATATACTGTCTTTAAAATTACAAATCTACATTTTTTGAATGCATTTACAAGCATTGTAAAAATATATATTAAAATGACTTTTTTATATGTAAAAAAAAAAATCTGAAGAATATTTGAAAAAAAAATAATATATTTTTAAAAAAATATATATTTTTAAATATATTCCTCAGATTTTTCTTCTAACAAAAAGTCATTTTTACAATATTTTTAAATGCATTACAAAAAATGTAGATTTGTATTTTTAAAGACATACAGTATATTGTATTTTTAAAAATATTTTTCATATATTTTGTAATACAAACGCAGTTCAACATACTATATATATATATATATATATTTTTTTTTTTTTTTTTTCTTAAATATATTTTGAAATGCATTGAATATGGCCAAAATTGTAGCATTTCAAATAATGTCAATATATTTGGGAAGAAAAAATTTTTAATGTTTTATATTTCAAATCTATTTTTCTTCCATATGGGTATAGAAGGTGATTTTGTGATGTTGGTTAGGGGTTGGTTGGTAAAGTGGAACTAAACCACTGCTGCTTTACAGCCAAGCAAGCTGCCATCTTAGCCTCTGGTTTGCAGTTGCCATGATGCTGCACATGTGATCAGTTATGACACCAGTCATTTGAAGGCTTGTTAAGAGCGCAAGCACATGTGACAGTTATCATTCACAGCATACCTTGAGTGTAACTTTGGGAAAGAATCAAATCAAAGGGTTTAGTTCCAAACCCACCAATTTAACAGTTTCCCAAAACAGCAACATTCAAGGCACGCTGTGAATGACAGCTGTCACATTCGCTTGTGCACTCAACAAGCCATCAAATGACTGGTGTCATAACTGATCACATGTGCAGCACCATGGCAACTGAAACTCAAACAGAGGCTAAGATGGCTACCTGGCTGTAAAGCAGAAGAGCGTTTTGTTTCACCGCATAGGCAAGGAACAAGCTAACATTAAAACATCAATAGCTTGTTTGTAAGGATCTACGAAAGACAGAGAAAGAAGCCATTGGAGATAAAATACTGTTTCATCAAAAAATACAGAGACATGGCTCTGTAAGTCTTCATGCACACTGGACGTTTTTACAGCGGCTGTTTTTGGCTTTTGACATTTTTTTTCTACAGCCAGTAAACCCCCCAGCATGTTATCCTATGTGTCCATGCACAGACTACAATCAACGTTTTTTGGCTGGGACATTTTTTGGCTGGAAAAAAAGCCCAGGTGGGTTTCTAGAGGAGTTTTTTAGTTGTAAAAAAGTTCTAACGCTGAAAAACGCAGTAAAATGCCGCAAAATGGTGTTTTTGAACTTTTTTTTACCAAAAACAATTTTTTTGGTAAAAAAACCACTAAAAAAACATAAACTCAGAAAAACACGGGAAAACTCTGCTAAACGCTAATGCAAAACCGCTAAAAAAAGCTGAAAGACTTTACACAGCTAACGTTACCAGTGTTATCAAAACACCCCGTGTGCATGAGGACTAAATATCAAATAACATGAAATATTAACAAGTGTATATCCATCTACATACAGTATGTGAAACATTTGATGAGAAAATGACCAATCTAAAATAAGGAATACAAAAGAATGTGTGCTGCATGAATTGCCCCCACTATGGAGACTCACATTATTCTAGAATTTAACTGATTTGTGGATCAGTTTGCTTATTTCTAACTGCGCTTTAATAACATACAGAGTGAAACAACATGCAAATCATATGTAAATATAAACAAAGCTAAACATTATGTTTTATTTCTGTTCTGAAAACTTTGTAATTACACAGCTGTCAGCTCCACACCACACCTCCTCTGTGAATACTATCTTCTCCACACATAATTTACTATGGTAGTTTGCTCCAAGGGGAGTCATTCCGAAATAAAACATCTAAAGATTAAGTGACA